TGCAATATATTATATATAGTTTCTTATCATGGTCAATTGCAACAAAATGCACGTCACTGCTTTGATCCAATATTCTCCACTATTCGAGATTAATAATTGATTATTTAAGTCTAAAAAAGGCGGAAATTTTGTATAAGGATCGATTAATTATTTATCAGGTGTTAAGTTTTGCTTCTGACTCGACGTCTACGAGATTAATTACCCGCAGAAAAAGTTCAGAGCCTGTATACAAATGGTAATAATTAGTCTGAATATAATAAAAGAAAGGGTCTGAATCCTATCTTCTAAGTGTTTGAACCATGGAAGCAACCCAGAAGTTTAATTTGTACATATGTGGACTAATAATGTATATAAACATATACCATTGATATATATACACTTTAAATTTGATAAAATGGGATTTAAATTAAATACAGAAATTCTTGTAACATGCAAGGAGTATTCCCGAACCGTGTAAAGAAATATTTACCAAAAAGTTTAAGTTGATGAAGTGCGAGTTAAATTATTTATTACTTCTTTTTATACAAGGAATAGATTCTTAATTAGAATAAAACAGAGACCAAAGGGTGGGTATTGGGAGCCTGGGAGAGTGGTGAATAGGATTGCTATAACTTTTCGATTAAATTTAGAATATGCAATAGAAATAAAATATGTAAAAGACTGAAATCAACCAATATAAGAACACACGAGATTTTTATGATGGTCCGGATGCCTTCTTCACTATGACCGGAGTTATACTGAATCACAATCCAATTCAATAGGCATTACAGACAGGATCCTGAAGTTTAATTCATGCCTATGTGGACTAACGATGTACATAAACATATGCCATGGATTGGAAATATATACACTTTAAATTCAATAAAATGGGATTTAAATTAAATACAGAAATTCTTGTAACATGCATGGTGTATTCTCGAACCACGTATAGAAATATTTTATCAAAAATTTAAGTTGATGAAGCGTAAGTTAAATTTATTACGTCTTTTATTACAAGATTATATTCTTAGAATAAAACAGTGAGGTGACTACTCTTTATGTGTTGCACATGTGCTACAAATATAGCACAACATAGAAGTGACAAACCTTGAAATCCATCAATGGGTGTTCTCTAAATCCACAAAGAACGATTTCTGAATCCATGAAGAACTTCGAATCCACGAAGAAAATACTAAAAAGGAATTTTTATTAATAAAAAGTTATGACTCTAGGGCTTACAATTCTTTGCTTAAATAGAAAATTAACAAGACTCCTACTAGAACCCGAACTTTACCCAAAAATAGAAATAACAAAACTCCCTTTAAAAGACTCCATATGATTAGGGAAGTGTTATGGTGTTCCCATTTTTGCCAAAATGCAACTTAAAAACTAAATAGCTGATAAGTGTACTTCTACACGCTATGTCCCAATCAACTTGGCGGCCAGAGACAATTAGGGCCGACAACTCAACCGACTTGGCGAGACGACACACCTCAGTGTCAACACGAAAGGCGGTGCATGCCGATACGAAAGGTAGTACTTGTCGCCCCCTTTCTGTAGAAATTATCGAAGGATTTGAGAAAATCGTGCAAAAACACGAGTACAAGAAATCCCTCGGATCGGTCGACCAACAACATAGGTCCGGTCGACCGATATATTGTTGAATTACAGGATTTAAAACCCGTCTCTGGTCGATCGACCGAACGGGTATGGTGGGTCGAATGAACAGGTATGGTCGGTCGACCGACAATATGCAAATTACAGGGTCAAAAACCCTGCTTTTGACCAGTCGATCAATGGCATGAGTTCGGTCGATCGAAAATGGATACGTGCTGAATTAGGTTTCCTGACCTATTTTGGATTGGGTTTTTGATATAAATAGAAACACACGTTTCTAGGGTTTTGATAGAGCGTTTGAAGGAGAGATTTTGGATTGTTTTGAGCACTTTGAGAGGGAGATATTGTGAGCGGGTTGAGAGCTTTTGTTAGGGTTATATTTGAGTGATTTTATGAGTTATAACTCATTGTATTTATCCTCCATATAGTGAAATATCCCCCATCCTCTCCCCATGGATGTAGGCAATTGTCGAACCACGTAAATCTCTGTGTTTGGTTTGGTTTGTACCGTATTTTAGTGTATTACACTCGTATTTGTTTTTTTTTTTTTGTTCTCTTCTCTTATCGCTTGTGGACTCGTTTGGTTGTCGAGCACGCTTCCGCACGACATACAATAATTAGTATCAGATCTCTAGGGTTTCAGATCTAGGGTTTTACATTAGGTGGATGAAGATTCATTGTTTGAATCTTGGTTCTTGGAGTTCTAGGCTTCGGTGGAGAAAGCATTGTGAAGTTGCAGTTCAGATCTTGCTTTTCTTGTGTGGTTAGGAGATCGTATTAGAATCCTATCTAGGATTCAGTTGGGTAATTTCTTAATTCTATCAAAGTTTGAATCTTTCTTTACAATTTGAAGTTTGTAAGCATGGGAGAAGAAGTTGGTGAAAGCAGCAAGACAATCATGAGTACAATTCAGGTTGGACATCAAAATACTAAGATTAGTGTAGTGAAGTTTGACGGTAAGATTAATTTTGGTTTGTGGATGAGCGACATACAGGACGCTCTCAATGCTCAAAATTTGGAAGAAACCAACATGGTCCATGAGAGGTCACTGAAATACGATGAGACGATGTGAGACAAGATAAATAGGAACACTTGTAGGGTGATCAGATCTTGTTTGGAACAAGAGCTGAAATACGATGTGATTGGGATGACGTCTGTAATGAAGATGTGGGGGATTATTAACAACAAGTACCTTACGAAGAGTGTTGAGAATCGGTTGCACTTGCTGTGGAGATTATTCAGATTCCAGATATCTAGGGGTATCTCACTTGCGGCTTATATGAACAACTATACAAAGTTATTATCGGACTTGGAAAACGTAGATGAGAAGATAACAGATGAGTACAATGCTATTATTTTGTTGGGCTCCTTACCCGATAAGCAGTATGATACCTTCATGCTCACTTTGTTAAATGGTAGATCTTTCATCACCTAAGGTAAAGTGACTAATGCATTGATGAATTACGATTTTAGGAGGAATGACAAAGAAACTTTCCGAGCTAGCACTTCAGGAGAGGCCTTGTTGACGAGAGGAAGAAGTCCATAACCAAAAGGTTGTAATAGAGGCAGGTCAAAGTCAAGAGGCCACCACCAATTAGTGAAGAACTAGTGTACGTTCTGCAAAGAACAAGGACATTAGAAGAGAGATTGTCCGAAGCTCAAAGAGAAGGAGAATAGCAAAAGAAAGGTCCGAAGGCCAATGAGGTGAATGTCGCTAGAGGTGATAATTCCGGTGATTCATTCTTTTATCTATTGATTACTCCAGAGGTGAACTATGTGGATGCATTTGATTGGATGCTAGATTCTGGTGCTACTTATCATGTAACTCCCCGACGAGATTGGGTTGTATCGTTCGAGGGACTCAATGGGAGCATGGTAGTCATGGGAGATGATCACTCCTGTGACATTTGTGGGATATGTACCATCAGGATACGGATGTACAATGGAGTTGTTCGTGAATTGAATGAAGTGAGATTCGTTCCTCAGTTGAAGAAGAATCTTATTTCCGTTGGAGCTTTGGAGGCAAAAGGTTTCAATGTGTTCTTTGAGAACGTTGTAGCGAATGTTACTAAGGGATCTTTGGTGGTGATGAAGGGAGTCCGCGGTAGAAATTTGTATTATCTATAGAGAAGCATCGAGATTGGCAAGTTAGCTTCAGCTATTTCAGAGGTGGACGCGGGCAGATTTTAGCACTATAGATTGGGGAACACAGGTAAAAAGTCATTGCAGGCTTTGTGCAAGTAGGGGCTATTGAAAAGAGCCAAGAGTGAAAAGATAAAATTCTATAAGCACTGTGTTCTTAGTAAGAAGACAAAAGTGAAGTTCAGGACAATCGTACAAAGGACGACGGACATCTTGGACTATGTGCACACAGATGTTTGGGGTCCCACTAAGATTGCATCATTCAGTGATCGATATTGGTTCATCACATTTGTAGATAAACTATTCTAAACATTGTTGGGTGTACATCATGAATCATAAGAATAAAGTCTTAGAGTTATTTATGGAGTGGAAGAGAAGGTTGGAACTGCAGGCAGGGAGAAAGATCAAGACGTTACGATCCGATAACGGCGGGGGGTATACTTCATACCCCTTTCAGCAGCTATGTCGAGACGAGAGCATAGAGAGACACTTCACAGTTAGTCATACGTCACAGCAGAATGGAGTGGCAGAGAGATTAAATCGGTTTTTACTAGAGAATGTTCGATGGTTGTTATCGCAGAGTGGTTTAGAGAAAATATTTTGGACTGAGGCACTTTTATATGTGAGCCACCTCATTAATAGGCTGCTTTCGTCTACGATTAAGGGGAAAACCCCTATGGAGATGTTGTCAGGAGAGCCAGCACACGATTATGATCAGGTCAAGGTATTTGGGTGTCATGCATTTTTTCTTGTCAGAACTGATAAATTGGAACCTCAAGCTAGGAAGGTCATATTTGTGAGATTCAAGCGAGGTGTCAAAGGATACAAGCATTAGGATCCAGTTGATAAGAATATTGTGCTGATTAGAGACGTCACATTCGATAATACTTCGATCTTGAAGCTTCTCAGTTCTCTTCAGGTGGAGAGCATCTCAAGAGGAGATATCGCAGGTGGTGGAGATTGATGCAACTCTACATTGTACAGATGGGATCGTATCTATTAGAGTGCCGATTGAGATGATAACAGGTGAGCACGATGATAATTTGGAGGATACAGGTACAGTTGAGTAGGATCAGGGACCGATGACTCAGGTTTAATATTTTATTACGGTTCGGAGGTCGAGGAGAAACATACAAATGCCAGCGAGGTATACAAACACAATCGTTGCGTATGCACTTCCGGTGGAGAGTATCGATGAGATGGTTCCTACTATATTTAGAGAGGTCGAGCAGAGTTTAGAGGCTGATTTGTGATAGGTGGCTATGCAGGAGGAGATGGGGTCTCTTCATAGGAACGACACATGGGAGCTTGTCGAGCTTCAAAATGGATGGAAGGCTATTGGTTACAAGTGGGTGTATACGAAGAAGGAGGGCATTGAAGGCATTCTCGTGAGGTTCAAGTCTAGGTTGGTCGTGAAGGGATATGTATGCACAGGAGGAAGATATTAACTACAATAAGGTCTTCTCTCCGGAGGTGAAACATTCTGCGATTCGGATTTTGCTGGCTTTGGGACACAGTATGGTTTAGAATTAGATCAATTGGGTGTGAAAATAACATTTCTTTATGGTGATCTTGATGAGAAAATCTATATGACTCAGTCATTGGGGTTCCAAGCTACAGAGAAGGAAAAGTTAGTTTGTAGGTTGAAGAAATTGTTATGCAGGCTAAAGCATTCTCCTCGATAGTGGTATAAACGATTCGATGGGTTTATGATTGGCCATTCATACATTAGGAGTAAGTTTGATCCTTGCGTGTACTATAGCAAGTTGAATAGAGGTGCATACATTTACTTATTATTTTATGTAGATGATATGTTGGTTTCTTCTATTTTCAGATCCGCCATAGATAGATTAAAGATTCAGCTTTCAAATGAGTTCGAGATGAAGGATTTGGGTGAAGCCAAGCGCATTTTAGGAATGGAGATCAGTAGAGGCAGAGACAAGGAAAGAATTTGTCTAACACATGTGGTTTATTTGAAGAAGATTCTATAGCGGTTCAATATGAGCATGGAGATGAAGCCAGCTAGTGTACTATTAGGAGCCCATTTTAAGCTTTCAGCTGACTTTTCACTGAAGATAGTTGAAGATAGAGAGTTGATGTCGGAGACTCCATATGCGAGCATAGTTAGAAGTTTGATGTACACCACAGTTTGTACGAGACCGAATTTGTCACAGGTAGTGAGTATGGTTTTGAGATACATGCACGACCCGGGTCCGGGTCATTAGGATACCGTGAGATAGATTTTGAGGTACATTCGAGGTACTCTCAATGTTGGTTTGGTTTTTTAGCTGGACACTAGCGGTGGGCAGCTATGTATTGGATATGTAGATTAAAATTACGTTGGAGATTTGAATAAACGTCGGTCGACGATGGGGTATGTGTTCACTTTGACCCATACGCCGGTGTTTAGGAGATGCACATTGCAGTCTACGGTGCCTTTGTTGGAGATGGAGGCAGAATATATGGTGATTACGGAGGTTGTTAAGGAGGCAATTTGGCTTCAAGGACTTTTGGAGGGTCTTGGTGTTTCACAGCTATCTGTCACCATTTATTGTGGTAGAATGAGTGCTATCTATTTGGCGAAAAATTAGGTCTTTCATGCGACGACAAAGTATATTGATGTTCGTTATCACTTCATTCGAGAGGTTATTGAAGATGTAAATGTAGAGCTCGTGAAGGTCCACACAAAAGATAATCCAGTGGATATGCTCACAAAGGTTATTCCGAACAACAAGTTCGGTCATTATAGAAACTTGTTGCAAATTTGTGATTTTTGAGACCGTTCGCAGCCATTTGGATGAACTACAGGCAATTTGATCCCTTAGGAGAGGGGGTACGTAGGAAACCACAATGGTGCAGCCGGATTTGGTGAGACGACGCGTTGATGCTTATGTTGGTGTCGGCTCAGTTTTGGAAAAACTTCGCCGATGTAGAGAATTGTAGAAATGACGAAGGATTTGAGAAAATCGTGCAAAAACACGATTACAGGAAATCCTTCGGGTCGATCGACCGACGGCATAGGCCCGGTCGACCGAAAGATTGTTGAATTACAGGATTTGAAATTCGTCTCTGGTCGGTCGACCGAATGGGTATGGTCCGTCGACCGAACGGGTATGGCCATTCGACCGACAATGTGCAAATTACAGGGTCGAAAACCCTGCTTCTGGCCAGTCGACTGATGGCACGAAAACGGATACGAGCTGAATTAGGTTTCATGACCTATTTTTGATTGGGATTTTGATATAAATAGAAACACACGTTTATAGGGTTTTGAGAGAGCATTTGAAGGAGAGATTTTGGATTTTTTTTTTGAGCACTTTGAGAGGGAGATATTGTGAGGGAGTTGAGAGCTTTGGTTAGATTTATATTTGAGTGATTTGTGAGTTGTAACATGTTGTATTTCTCCTCCATATAGTGAAATCTCTTCATCCTCTCCCTGTGGACGTAGGCAATTGCCAAACCACATAAATCTCTGTGTTTGGTTTGGTTTGTGCCGTATTTTGGTGGATTGCACTCGTATTTGTTTTTTTGGTTCTCTTCTCTCATCGCTTGCAGACTCGTTTGATTGTCGAGCACACTTCCACACGACGCACAATACTTTCTATTGAAGACAACTCGCCATGAGTCCACTTGACCACTTGCCAGATGCCTTGTAAAGTCGACTCAGAAGGCGTTACTTCTCGGCGAAGCTAAAGGACTGTTTTCGTCTCGAACCTTGATGCGGCATAAACATGTACCAAAAAGGTTGCAAGTGCACAACCGTGTCAAGTTATAGTATTTAATATATCGATCCCACGAGGAAGTTGTTTTGTAGGAGAAAATATAAAATCGGTTCTTATGTTGTGTGCGTGACAAGTAGGAGTGATAAGTGAATGTGATTATGGAGAGATAGAGAGAGTGGAAGTGATTAGTGTGTAAATCGGCACGAGATATAAGTGAGAGTGGATGTGACAAAAAAAATAAATATGATCAATAAGGCAAGAAGGAAAAGGAAAATAAAAATCAAGAATAAAGAAAATAAAATTCAAAAATAAAAGAAAATGCAAGAAATTAAAGATGGTGGATTCAATTATAGATATGGGTAATCTACAATTGAACCCACTTCTTAGAAAAGGGTGATTCCCTAGAGGGTTCTAGCCTAAAGGCGAATCAAACAAAATAAAAATAAACAAAAAGAAAAACTAAACCCAAGAGGGTTCTAGCCTCAAGGTGAATAGTATAAGAAATTAAAATCTAACTACAAAATAAAGTGCAAAATCTAAACTACAAAATAAAATTGCAAGAATTAAATGCACGAAAATAAATCTACTCTATAAGCATAAAATAAATCTAAGGCAAGAGGGTTCTAGCCTCTTGGCTATTTAACAAGAAAATAAAATCTAACTACAAGCATAGAAATAAATCTAAACTAATAAGCAATAAAAGAGAAAAAGAAAAGAAATGCAAACCTTCAAATAATTCTCCATCTTCATCTTCATCTTCATCATCCAACAAAGAGAAGAAGAGAAAAATTTAAAGTGGTGAAAAAATTATTATTATTAATTGCAACAAAAAGTTACAATTTTGGAAGGCCTTCTCAATTAAGAGTAGCCCTCCTCTCCAAAAGGAGTTTACAAAATTTTCACACCTCTAACCCCTCACTCTCTACCCCTATTTATAGTAAACATCAGTGAATGAGAGCCATTGGATCAAACTTGAGCCCCAAGACAAGCAAAATCAGCCATTGACGCGCGCTACAGCGATCTGGTATCGATGCAGGCATCGATGTAGGTATCGATGCCAGCATCGATGCCCACATCGATGCCGACATCGATGCCCACTATTTCCAAATTCTGATTTCACGGATAGCTTCGTCTCGTCGAGATAGGCGATTTTCATATATTATATGTTAAATTCCGCCTTCCGGATTAGGAGATATCGTCGTTTCTTTGTGGCCAACCATTTTGAATATGATTTCTTTTCATATTGGATTTTTGATTTTCTCCGGCTTCTACAGGCTACACGACTTCATTCTGGGCTTTTGGATAATTTGGAAATTGATTTTCCAATGTGCTTCTTTGCTTCATTTCTTCATTTAATCAATGGGTTTTTGTTGAGAGATGAGAGTTTGAGATTTATTCTTCATTAACCTGCAATTAAAAGATAAAAATAATTATTAGTGGTATATTTATTCATATAAAATAGATAATGAGGGTATAAAATTATAATAAAATATGATTATCAAATACCCCCACACCTAAACTTTTGCTAGTCCTCTAGCAAAGAAAATAAAAAGAAAATCCTAACTCACTTTCGCAGGAATCGCGGTTGTATTTAGCGCATACAACAAGCCTTTAAACCCCTAGGTTACCCTAGTGGACGAGTTGTAGTCTCGTGAGGGTTTGCAGTGAATATACCCACAAAATTCGGTCAATCTTGCCAAATTAAAGAAGTCAGTAAATAACTAAATTCACTTGATAACTTTTAGATAATCTAATTGGAGCCAGTTATCACTCAAGAAAACATTTTTATATATAACTCTAAGGTATATTTTTAAGAAAATCTTCTCATTGTAGCAATACAAAACCAAGCCAAACTTAGAAATTTAATTTAAAAGTTTTGAAAAGAACATGCTAACTCTTTGTTTTAAATAATTTTCAAGTTGCTTGATTTAAAATATTTTCCAAGACCATATATACAACTATAAAACATTTATTAGTTTTTTTAACTCTTTCTTCCTTGGTGATTTTTTCTACTTTAACGGGCTTTCTAAGTGACCATTTAACGAGTTTTGGGCCAATGGATCCCAACCCAAATGGGCTTAGGTCATTAAGTATGGAAATACTCCTTGGGCTTAATTACTCGGTCAGCTTAGGCTTTATAAGATAGAATCACCTTGAATTCAAGAGTTTTTTTTTCCTTTTCGTTTTTGGTGCCCATTTTTCGCACTCTTCTTTTGTTTTTTTTTTTTGTATATGTATATATATTTTGAAAATATGTAAATCAAGACACTTTGAAAAAATTATTTTCAACTCTAAGTTAAGCATGCAAAAATTTTATTATTTTAAATAAAAGTCCAAGTTAAGGCTTAAGTAAAGTATACTACTTTGAAAATCATTTCTTAAGAAATTTATTTAGAGTTATCATAAAAGGTGAACTTAAGTAAATAACTAACTAGGGATTAGAAAATTTCAAATTTATCAAATAAATCAATTATTACATAACTCTATCAATTTGGCAAGTGACGATATTTTTAAATTTTTTTTTTAAAAGAAAGGGAAAAATGTAACTAAAATGTAAAATAAAGATAAAAAATTAAAGTGGTGTTAATGCAAACTCTATGATGCATAAAGTAAAGCAGATAAGAAGTGAAGCACTTACATTTGGTCGGCTGATAAAAATCTGCAATTACCTTTGGTCTGAGGAGGATGAAAAAAAAAATTTCTTTTTTTTTTCTCTCTTTTTCTTTTCTTTTTTTTTTCTTTTTTTTCTTTTTTTTAACAACTGAGCAAGAAACTCTCAAATGAGAGAAGAATAAATTCTTTTTATTATTCTGAAATAAACAAAATAATCAATGTAGAATGAAATATTCAACATGAAGAGTTCATGTTCTACATTGAATCCTACCTTATTGCTGAAAATTCTCCCACAGATTTTAAATAAATTCAACATGATATAATCAACAATGTGCTGAAATTCTAAGCATTCCGGGGTGTTCAATGATTTTTGTGGCAATGGAAGGTAGGTATTATTGGTGTCATGCATATTGGACTCAGATTCTTGATTTGTGAATGTGTGTTCTCTAACAACCAATTTTTCTTTAACAATTTTCTCAACCCCAGGATTCATGGTTGATGTGTAAAAATTTGGTTTTTGTTTATTTTCCAAAAATCTTAGTTCATCAAGAAAGAGTTTTTCAAAATTCAGTTCAAAGCAGCAATTGTCCAACACAGTTTCTTTATTTTGACAAACCCGATCTGCTTCTCCTAATATTTTTAGCTCCTCACCGAAAATTTCCTCAAAACTTAGATCTGACTCTTCTTCTTCTTCCCTCGGTCTTTTCTGAATTGAATTATCAGAGGAAGAATGAATTGGGACAAGAATTTGGCTTAAAGGTGTTCTTTCCTGATTATCGACCTGTTTTCCTGACTGTAGTGCATTCATTTGAGTGTCCTTAGGATTGACCACGGGTTGACTCAGAATTTCTCCTTCCTCTACTTCACTTATGGCACTAGCTAGTTGATCAATATGGGTTTCTAATCTAGCTAGGGCTTGAGTGTTAGAGTTAAGTATGAGTTCGGTTGATTGCATAAAGGAGTTCATCGTGTAGGATGTTTGAGTTAACATATCCATG